AAAAAGAGGCCGTACCAGCAGCGGCAGCCCCAACAATATCTCCCTCAGAGTCCTTTACATTTAAAACTAGCCTGGTTCTGTAGTTACTATGGTTGAAATAAAAGTCGGAGATGGCCATCTTGATGCAACTCAACCCTAACTTCCCAACCCACGTATCCAGATCAAGAACCACTCCCACATTCACCGGAATCGTGGCTGAGGCCATATTATTTTGAGCCACCGCAGCATCCACCGAGGACAACCTGCAAAAAATAACAAAGAAAAGCCAGGAAATACAGAACAAGAGATTATTAGGAATCATCTTCATTTTTTTCCCTTCTGAATGCATGGTACTCATCAGACAGGTAGAACTGGTACTTTTATACATGGTTGATGGTAGGTGAGTTGGACTATGAATAATACGGGTTGGAAATTCCTCCTTGGAAAGGGGTATCATTTTACTAATATAATAAATAATCATGAATCAAAAAATGAAAAATACATTAAATAATCAGTAATTCATGGACGAATGGCCCTTATTTTCGTAATTAAATAATCAGAATGTACGGACGAATCGCGTTGATGTGATGGACAGTTGTTGGGGAAAAATTTCTCAGTAGGATCGCTTAAAAATTTGCACACCTGTTTTTTATTCTTTTCATACACTGTAATTTTCAAAAAAATTTGCTGTAATTTCGGGGATATCGTTGAAATGGTATTTTTTATCAATCACAGCATATCAATTATTATTTTTATTGTCGAGTGGGCTGGCATGACTAATGAGATAAAGAAATTTTTTTTAGGCAAAACATGCATATCACCCCTTTAACTCACCCATTGGTGGCAAATAACCCCCTCAACTTACTTTACGCGAAAATCACCCTCTCAACTTAGATCACCCTCTCAACTGACCTATAATGGCAAAACACCCCCTCTGCTAATGTCGATATCATCCTTCTGTTAGCTTTTAACAATCCTCAAAAGCCTTGCATCTGACATGACCTTTTTTTTGAGATGGATGCTAAGTTGGAGATGCCACAGTCAAATACCCAAAATCATTAGATCAATCAAATTACTCTTATCCCTTAAATTGTTTAGGAAAATAAAATTGGGAATTTGGGGATCTAGGGTTTTACTTCATTTGCTAGCTTTTATTGTCTTCTTCCCCTTTTCATCCCCAAATCCCCTCTCCTCCTCGATAAGCACGATCAATTATTCGAGGCACAAGAATCCGACTTTGATGGGGTGTCGTTTTCAAGAGCGATGTTCAACCTCTCCACCACGATTGTTGGAGCCGGGATCATGGCGCTCTCGGTGACCGTCAAGTAATTGGGTCTAATTTTGAGCGTGGTCATGATCGTGTTGGTCACTATGTTGACAAAGTCGTCAATTGATTTGTTACTTAAATTTAGTCGAGCTTCAAAATTCGCCACGTATCTAGGTGCAGTAACAAATGCTTTCGGCAAGGCCGACTGCACGATTCTTCAATCCTGCATTATCATCAACAACTTGGGAATGCTCATCATCTACATGATCATCAATGAGGGTTATATTTATAATCAACAACTTGGGAAACCTGAGTTTGTGTTAATGGTTTTTTTTATATTTATTTTTATGGCTATCAGTTTTTTTTTATGATATTCTGTTTTGAGGTTGGAGTCTACAATGAGGGTAATGGGTTTTGCATAATATCACCAATGAGGAAGAAAAGCTTAATTAGCTGTAATTTTTTTTTTTTCGCCACTTTCTAACCAATCTAGTTGCGTTTTCGTTGAAATTGTAGGTAGCAGCTAGTTCCATATTTTGCAAATTGACCTTGTTATTCAATTCTACCTATGTCTAAACATTTTATTCAAAATTTTTGTTGGTAGATTTAATTGCCAAGGAAGCTAGCAAACGAAGCAAAACCCTAGATCCCCAAATCCTCATTTTTATTTCCCTAGAATTTAAGAGTATAAAAGTAATTTTAGGGTATTTATCCAGGTGGCTTGTCTATCTCAACATCCATCTCGGCACAAAACTGCCACATTAGACCCAAAAGAGGGGTGGGTAAATGAACTGTTAAAAGCTAACGGAAGAATGGTCCCGGCATTACTTGAGGGGATGATTTGCCATTATAGGTGAGTTGAGGGGTAATCTGCGTGTAAAGTGGGTTGAGAGGGTGATTTGCCACTAGTGGGTGAGTTAAGGGGTGCTCTGCATCTTTTGCCCTTTTTTTTAATGATATAACGTGTTATGATTGATAGAAAATATTACATCAACAGTACCCTGAATATAGCAGACTTTCTCCAAATTTTCACTCTGTATCAAAAATCAAGGTTTTCCGTTTTCGACATCGTAATTAATTTACTCTTCCAATCCTACGCCTTTAGAGCATGTGTAATGGAAATTTTCTTTTATTATTTTTTTAAAAAAATAGGACAAAACTATAATTTATTAGAGACCCATTAAAATTTCGTTTCAAAAGAAAGGGCTTCATGCAATGATCAAATGATCCAACGGTAGGTTGGGTCAAGGTGCAATTCATTTTCATAATAATTCTCCAATTTTAATGAAGAGGCCAACTGTTGTCCCTGTATTAGCATCCGTTAATGAAAATGCTAACATAGTAGTAATGGTGTGTTAACAAAAAGTTTACATGGCACTACTGGTGTTAATAAAATATTAACTAGGCATTGACGACACATCTTATGTGGTATTTGAAAAATATTTTTCACTTTTTTGCAATAAAGATTAAAGGGTAAAATTACAAATGACTTTTCAAGAATTTCTTAAATTTATTTAATCTTAAATTATAATTCATTAAGCTAGTTACTACCACTGGTTTACTTCATTTATCACACTTTTACTTGACACAATTATAAAAAAATTATAAATATTTATAAAACACACTTATTATTAATTAAAATTTCATGTTTACGTCTATTAGAGAGGCTAGTTTGGGATGTTGAATTGTGTTCATTCTAAGAATGAAGTAATTATATATTAATAAGAGCAAAATTGAAAATGAAGACTTTGATATGTTGTTGAAAATTGAAATTGACAAGCACCAATTAACAAAGGTTGTAGCATTAATTTACTCCTAATAAATTACCATCCATGTTCAACTTTACTTATCATATTAGATTCAATGAAAATAAAATGTAAAATGTAAAATCAAAATAAAATATAATATTTATAATTAAAATTTGTGAAAAAGTATGAATTTAATATAAAAATATATATATAATTAATTTAAAATACCTTAATAAATAAAGTTTAACATGTGCCTTTAAAGTATAAGTTAGACAAACTCTTTAAATAATAATTAATTAAGAATATTAATTGATAAGGAATATATAAAAATACAATTTTATTAATTAATTATTATATCTCTATTTTATAAGAGAGAAAAAAAATAGGTCAACTAAAGTTAAACAAAAAAAAAAAGAAGTAATTAATTAAGATTCAAACATTATTACTGGAAAAAATATTAAGGTTGTATTTGGAATTACTATGAAGTATTGTGGTTAAACCTTTTGTAATATTTTATTATAAAAAAATTTATGTAATTGTTTAATATTATTTTGAAAAGAGGTTTAAACATTAATATGACTACTAAATGATAAAAAAAAAATCAATTAAAATATATTTAATCATAATAAATTAACAATTTATGAGATGTTATGTGAATAAGCACAGTGGAAAAGCAACCCCAACGCAACTAAAGGTTGAGAAAACTAGTGGCGTGCAGGATTGAATATATATTTATTGAGTAGAATACATGATTAGAACTTTATTAATATTACAAGCATTTAGTGAACTGATTTTTTTGGATGTGATTGATATATTGTTAAAGGAATAGAATAAAGTTTGTTGAATGTACTGTTAAGATTGAAATGGGTTATGAGGATTAGAGTACCCTTTTTATATTCAGAGTAGAATAATAATAAATGGGATGAAAATTTGAGATTAAAATTTGATATTAATGTTGTAACATAAGTACGTTATTTAAAATAATTAAAAAACAGATAATATATTATTTAAGAATTAATTTTTAAAAAAATATGTAATATTATATGTATCAATTAATTTTAATAACTTTACATATGTTACATTATTGGTTTCAAATTTTTATTTTAAATTTTTATCATCCCTATCTTTACTCTTTAGAGTAATAATATCATGGTTGTTTAAAAAAAATGAAAATGATTAAAACATTATTAATAAATTTTAGAAAAAAAGGATAGACTACATAAAAAAGAATATCATAAAAGTGAAAAGAGTTTTATATTCTTGGCGGGGGAGAGTTTGTTTGGTGCCACGGCAGCACGCCATGTAAGAGTGCTATGGAACTAAACAAAAATTTTAACTGAAGAACTAACGGGGTGATAACGTCCATCAACTAAAGGAGTAAGCTTGGCCTTTTTTTAAATTGAGGGATTATTATGAATTGATTTTTAAGTAGAGGAATGATAATTGCTCTTTTTGAATAATTTAAAGATTTTTTAGTGACATTAGCTTCTTCTTTCTTTCTTTCTGTTTTTTCTTTTCTTTTTTTTTTTTTTTTTTAACTTTTTAAAAGGTGGCCAGCAATTTGGGTCAAGGGGTCCAATCCATGTTTTCAACATCTTTTCATTTTAGAAAGTGACAAATGGCTTGGGTCAAGCGGCGCTGCTCATTTTCACCGATCTCAGCTTTCCTTTTTCAACTTTTTACCTCTATTTTTCAGAAGAACTTTTTCAAAGGGGTTGGTTGGTGGCTTGGCAATTCATAATTGAATGCGGTTAGATTAAATGATGAGGGTTTATCTAATTAATGCTCTTAGGATATATATTAAGGTATAATAAATATATTTTTTATAATTAATTTATAAAAAATAAAAATTAATTTTTATTTTAATATTATTATTATATAAATAATTTTAATTAATCAATTAATTAAATTTAAATTAATTTTTTTGTTATTTATATATATTAATTATTAAAAAATATATTTATCACATATTTATCATGTATTTTAAAAACATAAATTAAAAAATTTAAATGATCAAATGGTTAATAATTTATTTTAAAAAATTTAATTTAAAATCTTTTTGTTTGAAATGAGCGGAATAAAATAATATTAGATTTAATTTAAGAGTGTTATACTGTATATGTAATTGTAGTTATTTTTTTAATTTTTTAACATTACAATAATATATAAAATATATTTAAAATATTTA